CGCGACGGTTCACCGGAAATCTCAAGTGCTTCATTCAATACTGGCAAGGTGTTTCTTCACTGTGCTCAATTCCATGTTTCAATTGGCTCACATGGGCCACTGCAATTTTGTGATCCCGCGCGATCTCTATTGGTCATCCTCATGGTCAGTTCAGAATAGATGCATTCCGCATTGAACGAAATGACATTTCAGAATAATAGCACTACTCATTAAACGAGTAAATCCCGCAGTCTTCCTTCGATTCCAGGATTAAACAGCACCTCGCAGTATTCATCGGGCACCTCCAACTCCTGTGACCCATCAGCAGTTCGCAAAAATCGCCGAAAATCGCGCCAAATCCGCGAAACTCGCGAACGCGGGCAATCGATCGCGACTCTGACACCAGCCTAACACGTACGTTGGAGCCGTGGGAGAATCGGGCTTGTTTGCACTTACGAACTCGGGGATATGTCCCCGAACGATCGTCGGCTTGTTGCATACGACTTCGGATATGTCCCGACGATCGTCGGGCTTGTCGCATACGATCGATATTTCCCCAAATCGCGGGTGCTTTGGTTGCATCCCGACTTCGGGGATCTGTCCCCGACGAATGGCGTCGGGGCTTGTGGCATACGAGTTTTCGGGATATGTCCCCGACGATCGTCGGGGCTTGTTGCATCGATCTTGCGGGAATATATCCCCGAAAACTTTCGGGCTTGTTGCATACGACTTCGGGGATATTATCCGAAGACATTCGGTGCTGTTGCATGGGCCCCTGGCAAATTGCGGTACCAATTACTGTTTGGTACTTTTGCACTGAAATTACAGTCTACGGCGCATCTGCGGCGAATTTCAATGGTGCGGCGAGAATTTTCGGATTTGGCCTGATACACCACGAATCTGACTGCTCAGCTAAATTTTATCCGCTCCACCATCGACGGCTTTCAACCTCTTTTCCTTCGTCAACCATTATCCTCTTTTTCTCAGTCTCCGGACGCTTTCGGACAATAAACCTCGTGGCAAACTCCGACTGCTTCGGTGCTGCCCCGCCCACCATAATATTTGCCCCCTTCCTTTCGCCGACCTGTACCACTTTTTCCCCGGTCTCTGGGACTTCTTGGAACCAAATACGACACTTTTCGCAAACTCCATCCACTTTGGTCAAGCCCCGCCCACCGACAACAGCTGGCCTCTGCTCCTCCATCCACCTCTATCCACCTTTTTCCGGCCTCCGGGACTTCTTGGAGCCGAGTTATAAATTTTCGTCGCAAACTCCGCTCACTTCGGCCAAGCCCCGCCCACCGATGACAGATTGGCTCCACTTCCACATCTACCTCCACCTTTTGCCGGCTCATTAGGACATCCCCCGGCCGAATTATGAGGACTTGTAGAAAATGCGTACACTTTAGAGCGCGCTCCACCCATTGTGGGCAGACCTCCGCCCACGTCATATTTGCTGGGAACACCTTAGACATTGCTCCCCTGAACCAATTTGTCTTCTGCGCTGTAGGCTTTCTCCCAACCGAGTTATGAAATTTTTCATGGAGCACTGCTTTTTTGGAGAACACCTGCCCGCCAGGGGTGGGACTCTAATTCGATGTGAGTTACCAATGTACACCTTTGCCCACTTTCTGGCCCAACTTCAAGGCCGTTTTCTAAGAGAATTGGAAATCTCGGTCGTCAATACACTTCAAGTCGACGCACGCCACGCCCACTGTGGGCGGGGCTCCGCTTAACTGATGTGTGTTTTGTACTTCGTAAGACCTTGCCCACCCGTCCCCCACTAGACCCGGTCCCTCCAGGAGGCCGAGGAGCTGGGGATTTCGTGACAGACATACAGACAGAACGACAGACGACAGACGAAGCGCTTTATAGTAAGTAGGATAAGACGCACCCTATCCACCTCCAAGTGTAATGGTCCGACCCAATCTCCCCTTCCAGATCTCAAAAAGAAATGAAAATCAACACAGACACCTCTGATTGGAGCAGAAAACTGAGCTAGTCGACAATCGTGACAAAAGAGATGCGAGAGATACAGAAAACGAAAACAAGCCCATGTGAAAAGCCTACAACAGGTATTGACCACAAAAAGTTACCTTCCCTCAAGAAGCGAGAAAGTGTCGGGTGCAAACCATGTACCACCAAGTGACGACATCTTTCAGAAAATGTTAATGTTTTCTGCCAATGGAATGATTAGCCTGTTGCAGTAGTATTCTATCGATTTTCACAAATTACAACGATCATTTATCAGAAATCGGCTACCACTGTAAACAACTTCTAATCAGATTTACTTGGAGGCTGTCGTCAGTTGTGGCGTTTGATCTGCATCCGACACTTTCTCGCTTTTTGAAGGGGAGGTTAAATACCAGCGGCGCGGTCGCTCTGCATTCGTTCACAAAAAGCGAGGTACCCCAACAAGGCCATACGAAGATGACGGTGTATCAACATCCCATTCTGTCACAAATTACCACAAATACACAGCTGACAGTTATTGGACTATAGTAGTTGGGGGGGAAGCAGTCGACAGGCGCTTGTTCACTGCTCGTATGCGTAATATTGCCGCGGATAGCGTACAACTAGGTCAAACTGGCGCGTTTCAAACACCTTTGAACTGGCATACTTCAGCTCTTGTCACACGGTAAGACCCCCCCCTACCACACCCTTATGACATCGTTTTGAGCTATTCACGTTCCACATCTAATTTCAACCCACATGACCCCTCATCGGTCCCTGTCACACCTAGCTACACGCTATCTTGCAGCGAAAGGGTGCATACGAGCAGAGAACATGCGCCGCCGTCTGTCCAACAGGGTCTGCGGACAACTTGAATTCAGCCCTCCAAACTGTCTCGGACTGGTGCTCTCACCTGCGCTATCTCGCCTATACAGCGGCTTATGATTACTGCGATTTCAAGCGTTAAAGCTTTATCTTAGGGTGTTTGGCTCACCCACTCCGGAGTACCTGATCCCTCCAGGGCTTAGTCCTAAGGCTCTCACCTTCCTGCTTGAGATTCGGAGCCGAGCCAGGCACCGTCCTCTAATCGTCTGTACTCTGGCCTTTCGCGGCAGAGAACACAGGGGCGGGTTCAAGTAGTCACGTAATGCTCCAAGAGCACAGGCTGTGCCTGATTATCCACGATATCCAACTTGACGCTATTGTCCTTTGAATACCTAGTGCATACGTTGAACGCCTGTGATTGGCGATCGCGTGTAATCAACCACTCGCGAGAATCTGCAACGTCCGCCTACAGGAGGCTGTAGTATGTATGATGAACTCATGTTCAAAACGACTATTACAGGTTTTCAAGCGACGGCGACATCCGGAATCGGAAACGGCTTAGAGATGCTCAATAAACGCAGCATGAAGCGGAGCGCATCTACGAGCACCTTCGAGGTATAGGCATTCGATTGCCAAGAATTTTGAGCAAGCGTTTCTCATTTTAGCGACTTTAGTTTATAACTGTAGCACATACACTGTGTTTAACGATGCGGGACATGTCGTAACTGCAGGCAACTGCGACGCACAAGGCGATGGTCTTCGAAATATTACGTGTGTATTTTGATGCTCTTGAAGCTATTTGACGCCACCTCTGTCATTAACTCTGCAATTGCGACATTCTCATCGGGGAAACAGGGTGTTCATACCTGCTACATAAACAGCATACTCTACGGTCTCAGAAGCAATGTTGATCAGAACGGGCGTGTAGCATTCGGTCCCTTTCCGAATTTCTGTTCGAAAAAATCGCACGTGGCGATGGAGGCACGTACACCACACCGACATAACTTTGCTGAGCACTTTTAGGGGTGGTGATTCGATAAGGCACACGTAGCTTGCAGAGCATGACTCCGTCTCAGTACGAATCTCACCATGGAATAAAAATGCAAGAAATGTGCAAACGTGATGGTTGAAGGAGTGCAGGAAAACATGAAACAAATCGTGTACTGACCACCTAGCCCCTTCTGCATGGGCAAATCACAAAACCAGTGTGCATTTGATCCCACTCGAAAGACCTGCAAGACGCCCATAGACAGCAGAAAACCTGAGTTGAAGATATGTACGTGAAGAACACAAAACGAGTCGAAATCTAGCACAAGGGCAAGCAGTGTCGTTGTAGATTCATATACACGCAAGACGGCAAGTGCATCGCACGATTATTGATCAACTAATCACTCACGATTTTTGCAGTTGTACTGAATAAGTTGTGAGGGCTTCGTAAACCCACATCGCATAAACATTTTTGCCACTGCCACTGTCTTGTAGAGATTCATTTAACTCTGAAAACAGTGGCAGTGGCACCACTATCATTTATCTCTACAAGAGGAAATAAGACACACAAAACTGATCGAACGTGAACTTAGCAGACTTCTGCGCAAGCTTTGACACCTTACTGAGATGTAAACAGTTTCACTTGAAACGCTGCTATTTTTTAAGACATACATCACGCTCAACTTCAGTACTATTCTGAAGTACCTTTTATTCCGTATCCTTTGCACCCATTTTCATTATATCAAGTCTGAGTGTCTCCGCTTCAGACTGTCCATGAAACTTTTGCATTAATTCATTTATAAATTCTAGGGAACAACCAGGAAACGCAGCCAAACCGATCATGACAATACGAAAGGCAACTCGACCAACTTCAATCCTGAAACAGGTGCTGTTCTCATCTGTCTCTGCATGTTCCTATGGTTTTTTCTTCCGAAGAAAAGATCTACAAAATATGCAATTTTGCTGTTGAACTGTAATTGTTGTATTGTGTATTTACTCGCTGTCTTATTGACGTATTGATTTTGTGTTACCCTCTTATCATTTTGTTCGCATATCATGTAGTTTGATTCCATGCTAAAATATTGTCAGTACACGAATAGCAACTGTTGAAAGTAATTCGAGCATCTAGTGCTCGGAAGAAACTTTATTTGATCTTGACCATTCGATTAGTGACAGGCGGGGGAGATACCCCAGACGTACACCTGCCGGGCTAAGATACAACCGGCTTCGACTCCTTGTCGACTAACTTCCATTGAATGTTTGGTGTGAACGACTACTTGGTGAGTAGTTTTTCCTCCGGGTTTCTTTGTTTTATTGTGATAATGGAGTTCTTCATTGTGTTTTAGCATTAATTGACATCAATTTTTTTTTGAAAAATATAGGCCCACGAAATGAGCGTACTAGAGTGGTGGATACCAATAGATGGCGGGGTCGTGAGACCTACTGGGAACACCCGAGCGGGAGTAAGCCTGCAAACTCGCAGTTTTCGTTTAACTTTGAAAGCCAAGTAGCTGCACGCTTAGAACAAAACTGATTCTAGTTTGTTCATACTGCGGAACCCCACGTTGATCAACCAGGCTTAAGATCTGTGTTGGAAGTCCCAGAGTAGGTTCACCGACGTACCCTTCACTTACATTCACCCATCACCGAACACTGTAATCGCGCCCTAATTAGTAGGATAAGTTGCGCTGTTCGTTTCCAAGCAGCTGTCGAGTTTGAGGCAGCACGACTCAGACGCGCGCGGTCGCTCGCGGTCAGCATGTTGGTGACACTTCATCGCACAGAATGTTTGTATGTATATGGGAGATGCGGAAAGTACTACTCGTGAAAGAGTTTGTAGCGGCTTATGTAATTGTGAGCACTTGGTCATCATTCCCTCCAAGTCATAGACTACAAGTTCTCGGTGACTTTCGCAAACTACGTCACTCCTACACAAGTTTAAGTGATTTTCGTGCGTAGGACTGCCGTGTTGGGGCGGGAGGGGAATCGAATTCGCAGGTCAAACCGGACGCAATCCCTTATCGATAACTGCGACTCTGTTGAGAAGGCGGTTTCCCTCGATACCCTGTCCACCACCATCTACCTCACACCTCAACTGCATATCTCGACTACACCAGCCGGCATCCATCCGCTCTTCCATGCCTGCTGTTCCTTCTGCAGGAGTTGTTTAAGTTGATTCTTCCTCGGCAATGGTTGCGAGACTGTAGGTGGACTATTATCGACTCGAGATCAAAGCTTCCGTCGTCGTCCCTCCCCCACGAGCGTATTGTGCTCAGAACAGTGGTGTCGACTTGTTCCTTCTTTGGCTACCATCGATGCTCCTTTTTCTTAATTCCCTCTCGGGTTGGTTGCAAATTTGTCTTCTTGGTAACCTCCACACTCTTCTATGCGGTCCTGCTTGAGGTACTCTTTTGTCAGACTTTGAAACAATCTCATATTTCGAATATCTAAGGGCGAAGACCCAAGTGACTTGACAAGTTGTTTGGATCAATCCGTCGCAACACATTGCATTAATATGCAGAGCTTTACACTGCGACTGTTCGAGTTCTTGATCGAGCACCTCCCACTCAACAGTAGAATGAGGCACCAGAGGCCAATAGGGGTCGACTGGAGATGATTACGATCGATTTGATCGCCTCCTTAAGATTACCTGAATCCCATTCTTGGGCTGTAACGGAACAAATGCTATGAATACGTGCGCTGCCAGTGGCGTGAGTTTGACCCTATACAGTTCGCCCTCATCCTACAATCAATCGTAGCGGCCCACAAATAGTACCTAACCACCGTTCCTATGGTTACATACTATGCCACTTTCGTCTATTCTCTTGATGCTCATCTACGGAGGGTCCAGAAAACAGAAGTCCGAGTGAAGGAAGTTGGTCAGAAAGTGTGGCTGACTGCGAGCTTCCTTCGTTGGCCCTCGGTTCAGAGAAGGGCCAAACTCGCATTGTGGGGGGCCTCCCTTATGCTCCGTGTTCAACACCCGAAATCTCTGAGCTGATTACTATTTCATCTGAGATCGCCTAAGGACACTTTTGGCTTCTCGATGCTGTGATCGGATCAGTTGTCAGGGATCTAGCAATTTGATTCATTGCAACTCTTCATGCCATAGAGGTGGGGGCAAATCAGATATGTTGCCAAAAAGCGAAGCAATTTCCCAATTTTCAAAACATTCATACAAATAGTTATGCGCATAGTCATCATGTGACCTCTTGCAATTAGACATCATGTGCAGAGCTGTGAAACGCTGTTGCAGGATATGCAGGACAACGCTAACCATGTCAGTCGATGTTGTTGAATCCCAGTGAGCAGTCCCTCAGACTCCACACTTCATGTAGGTGCGCGCCATGCATTCGCTTTGCCCCCAAGATAGTAATTGATTGAATGTAGTGGAGAACAACATTTAGGTAGATTGGGGTACTCTTGGCCATGGGATGGGGGAGTGGGGAAGCATTCAATATTCGGTTAAGACGCAATATAGGAATGGTGGAAACAAGTTGTTCGATTGATATTTGGTTAGATTAGCGTAGCAACATGAAGGATAACTAGAATTCCTCTCTAGGTTAATTGAGACTGGGTTTTTTGTGAGCTTCGTTTCATGCATGTTACTCAAGGCCAACGAATAGGCAAGACGCAGTTCATGGCGCGTGAGGTGCTTCGTACAAGCAAACTTGGAGCATGTAAGAATTCAATTTCTGGTTGGGACATAGTACCACTTCATACTCCTAGGTTTTTTAAAACCATCGATACTACACTTACACCGTATCCGTTGCTTTGAAACTCATACCTCTCAGCTAGGCATTTGTTCTTCCATATCGGCAATCAAGAGCTAGTGGCGCTTTTCGTCGCCGAGCACGTTGTAATTCGGATGCCACGAGTGTCCGGTGAGTCACTGCTGCTTGTATCGATCTAGTTCGTTTCGAAATCCTGAAAAACCGTTATGTTCGTAAATTTTTCTACTTTCTTCGAGTTTTTCCTCACTGTTTTCGGGACAGCTTTTCTTCTATGGTTGCCCAAGTCTCTTGTATCAATACCGCGAGTCTTTCTTACACCTCATATTTGAACTGCGTCCACCGTACACTACCCGTGCGTCCACCCCCCTTCTGGAATCTCTATTCAGCGTGCGTTCGCGTCGCGTTTCTTTCCGCTCATTGTGACCCTTTTCGTGTCAACGACTGCTCACCCTCCATCCTATGGCCGTATACGCGGTATGTCTGGAGGTATAGTCGAAGAAAAAGCTGTCCACGACGCTCTAGACGCTCTCCTTCGTGCTAGAGAGGTAAGAATTTCAATATTTCTAAATCAAAATTGGTAAGTGACGTGGTTTGATTCGTATATCGGTGATGCTTGTTTGGGATGGGTGAATGAGTCATGAGATAATTTTGTTCGTTCCACGTCGTTACATACTATGAATAAACGAAATTGGTGCTTTGAACAGTTGCGATTTGCGTACAATTTTAATGATTTGCCGTTATGGGTATTTTGTCGGTTTTCTTGTTCGGTATTATTCGATGAAGCCGAAAAATAAACGTTACTCGATTTTTCGCCGTAACAGCATACTATACCCGATTCATGTTAGTTATGAGTTTCAACACAGTTTCTCTGCGTCTCAATTTTTGTTCGTGAGAACTTCTATTGAAGGGGTGACGCTGCCCCGCACGTCACCAACTTGTGCAGTATATATGAGTGGTTTCTGTTTCGTTATACACGAAATTGCGCGCGGTTTTGTATCACAAATTTCAATGGTGACTATATAGTGTTGAAGAAATAATTGCTATATTGTCGGTATATAAGACTTTATTCACTTCTTTTCGTTTATGTCATTATTATTTGATGTTTTTTTTATTTGGTTCGGAAACTAGAACCCTCTGTTGACACGATTTCTAATGTTGTTTAGCATTCTGGTGCCGACACTACTACAAATCCAACGCTGAAGCGCTGCTATCCTGAAGACTCTGAGCGTGCGTCGCCTGGTTCAATTTTCGTGCTGATAATTTTGTTCGAATAATAGTGATGTTATCGTTTTGATTTTCACTTGTCCTCATTTCTAAGTCTCTAAAAGTATTGAATGTTTTACCCTGATTTTTCAACCCACGATAATATTGTTTAGCATTTTCAGCGAATCCCGTGAAAAGGAGCAACATCGAGGGAGCCATGGATGGAAGCGGGATGGTGCAACAGATGGGATTCGGAGCGCCAACCTCAATGATTCCGACAGTTGCTAGTGCAGCCGAGACTGTCGTAGAAATCATCAGTGTTCCAGAAAATACTGTAGGCCTAGGTGGGTTCGTGTGATTTGTGGGTGGTGCCGACGCAGAAATGCGTACTCCACCAAATCGATCATGTTCGCTTTAGTTATTGGTAGAGGCGGCTCAGAAATTCAAAATATCCAAAGCACAACGGGATGTCGAGTACAAATGAGTCCGGACGGTGACCCTAGCACTGGCGTCCGTCAGTGTACACTCCAAGGAAGCAAGGTAAGTAACGAATAGTAGCGCGAAGTGAGTGAGATAAGGAATGGTTTCGAGTGAAATAAGTTTAGGAAGACCGCGTTCATCTTCCAAGGCTTGCCTTGCGTTTAGTATGTGCGCTTTGAATTGGTATGTTAGGTTTGTAACCATTCACCGGCCTTCCTAATCTCATCAGCCGAATCAATGACAGAAAGTGTCTCTTATTTCTTCTGAGGCATGAGATAAAACAATTAGATATAAAGTGATGTTCAAGACAGAACAGCTTATGTCATTATTATTTGATGACAAGGCAGAACAGCTTATGTCATTATTACTTGATGATTTTTCTTATAATAAATTTGGCTCACAACTAGGAAACACGACACTTTGAATCTAGGGTGAGGCTATAATTGATGACAGCAGAATGATGTCTAGGTTTACCTAAGGCTCTTAGATGACAGGTAGAGGGCGATGCTCTAGGCAATGTAGCACTTGAGGATAATAGCGGATACCGTATTCTTATTCTGAGTCTGTGGACGCCACTCAGGCCTTTGATTGCCTTCCTTTTCAGATATCGGTGGAAAGGGCCAAGCAAATGATAACCGATGTCATCACAAGGGCAGCCTCGCGTCCGTCTACTCAAAATTTTACCCCGACAGATGGTCGTGCCATTACTGTAGAGATGACTATACCAGCAACAAAGTGCGGTCTTGTGATCGGAAAGATGGGAGAAACGATAAAGCAATTGCAGGTATTGAAAGAGTGACGGTGAAAGTGAACTGACAATTATTGCTGTGATCAATTGTGAAAGTATAGGAACAAGCTGGCTGCAAAATGGTTATGATACAAGATTCACAAGAAGTTACTGGGCAGTCGAAGCCATTGCGTATAACAGGAGATCCTGAGAAGGCAACTTTTTATTGATATTCAAGCACAATTACAAATAAAGAAAACATGAAAAAAATAGTGTGATGTTTAAGGTGGAGGTAGCAAAACGGCTTGTGACCGATTTGATCAACTCTCGGGAAGACAATGGCACTATACCACGGCTTTATTCCGAGCAGGCAACAGCAAAAGGAGAAGTAGGATTTTATTCAGAACAAATTGTTGAGATTTAAAATACCGCAACAATAAACATCCTTAATCCATCTAGGTACCCAATTCTCATTTTCAGGTGGTCGTCCCTCGTGCTAGTGTCGGCATGATTATAGGTAAAGGAGGAGAGACCATAAAACGACTCGCCATGGAAACGGGGACAAAGATTCAGTTCAAAGCTGATGGTACGTCGATCGCAGTGTGACTTCTGTACAGCGTAGTTGGCCCGAAGTAGTCGTGATATATGTGATATAGAATTGCGGCAACGATTCCTTGACTCACAGAGAGCGACAATACCTGCAATTAAGCTGTGGTTTTGCAATGTGATAATTTAGAAATGGTGCACCAATTGGTGCTGCTTATTGTGCTGGACTATGTTCAAGCTGTCTCACCTGTTGGTGATGCCATGGTATTTGTAAGGGTTATTAGTACATGTAGCTTCCCGAGATTCCCTGACGTGTTAAAGAACGGGAACGCTAGTACTATTTTACTTTAGTGGGACTAGGATCAGAAGTTGACTGCGACTAACCTTTGTGAGATCTTTGTGAACTGGCTCTCAATAATAGGGAAATTTTAGCGACTTAGGGTGTTCATTACCTTCAGTGGATCAATTTCAAATCAAGAGGAGAACTCATTAGATCTGGTAATGTCTTACTGAAAATTTCGAAAGTGGTCTTTTTTTTTCTAGAAGGCCGAGTCGCAATCACTTGAATTTTAGTATGTCTAGTTAATGTACAGCATTTAATCCACGTGCTCGGGAGGATCGAAATCGCAGGCGCAGATGTTTTGGGCGCGTAAACAAAAATTCGAAACGGAAGCGACCCCTGAGTTGCGCCGGTCGCAACGCAGCGTGCGTATCAGGCGAAGCGGCTGTTCGCAAAAGTGAGTGTGCAATGATTTGAATAGAGGAAGGGTGAGCGGCAAGGATAGCTGAGACCATTCAGTCAGAATGTGTTGGAGTGAGGTGACTTTAATACGACAAAAACCTGAAGAAGAGATAATTGCATATTAGTTTGGGGAGGTTCATAAACAAGACGAGAGACTTTAGCTTGGAAATTAAACAATTTCCTATACGAAGTGGTTGCTGTGTTCATTGTTGTTGCTGCTCTTGGGTTCAATTACGTAGACTTCTAAATTTAAGGAAACCTAAAACATAACTTTCACAGAGTTGAATCCGAACCTTTCGTTCTAAATGCTTGACCTTGACATGACGCATTGACTTCTGTTATCAGAGCGAAGAATGCAGGTGTTGGCGCGTCCAAAAAAGAAGTGGTTTGGTGATTAGTCCAGTTGTTAACGCATACACTACCGAAATGCTGTTCAAATTCAGATATCGCTCAGAAGTGTTTTAGCGCTGTCCTCGATTGTAGTTGAAAGATACAATAAGGGATGAGCATTGGGCACTGGTTGAAGCAACATGGTTACTTTTTAGATGATCCGACATCTCCCGATCGATGTGCTGTTATTATGGGATCAAGAGAGCAGATTTATAAAGCCACCGAGCTCATCACTGAACTGGTTCATAAAAGCTGTAGTGGCTCAATTATGACCGGTCAGACAGAGGTTGGTTGACGGATTGTTTAGCGAATGTGTGTGCATATGTGTGTCGGTTGTCTGATTCTGTGAATTTTTTGCGTGACGTGCTTTCTCTCACTAACATTATGTGATCTACTGTGATGTCTCGTGGTCCTCCTCACATTCCGCCTGGCACTGGAGGCTTAGTATGGTAGCACACAGCATCAAAAGATTTGTGTATGCACTCACTAACACTATGGTATTGGTAGTGCTTAGCGGGTGTGGTTCATTAGGACAGAAACCGACTTTTTCGCGTTTCATGGTGCGAAGCATTTTTCGTTGCGGCAATCTCGGGTCCGCTGATTTTTCGCTGCGGGAACCTCGGGTGCACCAATGGTAAGAGGTGGACCTGAGGTTCCGCAACGGAAAATGTTTCGCGCTGTGAAATGCGAAAGTTCGCTTTCTGTCCTAGTGAACCACACCCGTGCTTAGCTTTCGTTCATTATGGTGTCCCTGTAGACTTAGTTCAGTGTTGGCAGATACATGTAGTATGTGTCTTTCCTGGCTTCTTCCCTTCAAATTCTTCTTCAGTAATAACAAGGAAATGGACCACGAACGGCGGAAAAGGAAAAAATTGGAAAAAAATAACTAAACGATGTATATCTCTAGGTGGTTCCTCTTTTTGTTAAACATATCACATTGTTTAACACTTGTGAAACTAGTGCTTTTATCAGCTTTTGGTCGCTTATTAGTTTTCCTTTCCTTTTTTCTTTGGTATGTAAGTTGCACCATATGCCTTTGTGTTGCTTTGTTTTTACAAAACACCATTGGGCTAAATGTTTTCACATTTGCTGTAGTGTTGTATCGCTTAGTAATAGCGTTTCGTTGCATCGTGTCAGTTAATTTGAAGTGAATATGACAACCGAAGAACTAACATCCAACTTTTCATTCAAACTCTTTATAGACACCTCAACTTCAGGCTTTCTATATGCACGTCCCATCAAATAAGACGGGTCTCGTCATAGGTAAAGGAGGAGAGACTATCAAACAGGTTTGTGTTGATAACTAAGGTCACTTCAGCGATTCTTAAAACTTCAATGTTATTTGTAGATCAATGCGGAAAGTGGCGCGCACTGCGAGTTATCTCGCGACCCTCCACCGAATCCTCAAGAAAAGGTTTTTCTAAAAATGCGATAATCACTGACGACTATTCATTTTAATTGTTTTTCTTTTTTCGCAGGTCTTTATTATCCGTGGTACTCCATATCAAGTTCACCATGCACAACACATTATTCGAATCAAGGTAGTGTACGGTTGTCGTCTCAGACTGCATCGCCCCTGATGGACGTGGTAATTGAGTGTGCCGTCATAGATGGGGTACCTTAACTGTGGGTCTTGCATTGAACTGCCGTTCACAGAGAAGGTATCCATTCAATGCCACACGCGCAGTTGTGACGTGCTCTGGGTGTGGCCGTCTGAAATGGCAACCAAATTTTGTATCGCTTCCGCTTGTTGAAGCAGTCTTTTGTTTGTGAGTCAGGTTTGCCTACGTGGTTCTCAATAAGTATTGGCACTAGTTTGAACAATGTAGCAACTGTAGGCACTTGTATGACACAGAAAGTATATTTGGCGTGGAGGGAGGGGGCTGTTGTCGGCCACAACTTCTGGTCATATTTGTGAATAGGCAGGTCCACCATTCTGGGCACGTGTTAGACACAACGGGTAATCAAACATCCTTCCATCACTTCTTGACCTTTCCCTTGAGCTCGTGAGCTGAGCTTCAACATGTTAACATGGGAACACCCATTCGCTTGGAATCCATCATCTATTCTTTTCTGGGCGCTGGTGTCCTGGGGAGGGGAGGGGGGGCATTTTTGATGGGAGCTCAATGCTGTTGAAGCAAAGCAAAACATCCTTATAGCATAGTTGTATAAGAAAACTAATGTTCGACTAAATAACTGTCGCGCAAGAAAATTTGAACCAGGTGTAGTTGAATAGGAAGAGGCGTTTTGTGGGCATTAGGGCGTGCTTTGTAGATCGTACGTAGTATTTGCGAAAGGTTTCACAGTACTGACTTGTTACGCGCCTTATTGCTATAACATTTTTTTTTATTTTGTGGGCACTTACGGCCTTAGGTGGGGGTTGACATTCAAAACAGGGCATTCGCCATAGTTACAGGGGCGGTACGCGACGGCGTGATGGTAAAAGTTAAGCTTTTTCAGAGAGTAGAACCCTTGAGAAAATAAAAGTCGCTCGTACGCCTTGAGGTATCTCCTTCTCATCCCAGGCTCAGTCCATAAAAATAAGCATTACCTCAATCCTGTTCGGAAGTCCCATGGAATAGGCGAAGGGACAGAGAACCTAGATTTTACCCATTGTTGGAGGTTATTGCGAAACAATATTGTTTTTGGAGTAAGATCGCTGTTAGTTTCTCTGCGCATTTTTCTTAAATCGAGGTTATTGCTAATCCATATAAACGTTCATAGTATAAGAAAGTTTTTAAATGTGTTGGGCCTTCCCCTTGGAGATGCCCGTCCCTATAAACCGGAGCTTCCTTTCCTGCTTCACTAAACCACAGTTCAATGCCGTAATAACTTGTTACGTCTTTTTTGTATGTTTCGACAATTTACCTTGAAGATTAGAGCATCTAAGTGAAGTATCTCTAATTTGGTTGGTTTATGATTCCCCGTAAATTAAGTGGTGTGGTCTTTTTGTGGTGATCCCGTAAATAACAATAGTACAGTGGCATTTCATTCTGTAACAATTCCATTTAGGATTGAAATAAGGAAGTTTCCAATTAGTGTCAGAATATCTGCTTAATGGCTTCTAGTTATTTGCTCACAGTTGTGAACATATAGAAGTAGATTGATATTTAAATATGTAGATTGATGTGAATAGATTGTTATAGTGTTGCGATTTGTGCTTTTATTGTGAGTACAATTGTAGAGGTTTAGTAAAAAATATGAACACAAGTTGTGTGCTAATTAGCTATGCTACTTCAGAAATGATCCGTGTGGGTGGCAAGCTAACTGTGAATTAACGTGTCCTTGAAGTTTGACGTGTTGCTATATATTGTCAATTTGCTTAATTGACGCTCTGGAATCGTTTTGTGTTGTCACATTTATTTGTGCGTGGCTAGATTTAAGTGGTTTTGCTATAATGTTCTTGCGTTTTGTACTGACATCAAACGCATTGCCAGTTGTTGGGAGTTGGTAGCCGTTTTTTACTAGTTAAGGGGGCTCTTAGGGGCTCCGTACCGCGAATAACTGCCTTTAACAGGCATTGCGTTGACTTTGATTACATGTTGTTTCTACTGCCAATATGTGATTTCCGCTTTGGCCTGATTTACGTTATGTTTACTGTTGTTTTGTGAACTTAATGGTTGTGCTGTAGTATCAAGTTTCAGGTTGGCGACATAGCTCCTGGCACACCTGTGCCTCCATTCACTGGAGCCGGTGCACCAAATGGTAGCAACTATGGTGTATCGCAATATAACGGTCAGTACGGCGCTAGCCTGTGGAATAACACCTACGGTATGAAGAATCCGAACGCAAATGCTTGTCAGCTCCGAGTCGGTTCAAAAATTGTAACTTGCTTTAGCCCAGCAACCCGATGCTGGAAACGGATGGGCGAATCAGGCCGCTGGCCAGTACTATACTGGTGGCGCAGCTAATGCGCAGAATTCTTACGGTAATATGCAGAGTTATACATACGTGCCTCAGTCTGGAGCGCAACCAGCGAGCGCTTCTCAAAGTTCGAGTACGACTTCGACAGGTCCAACCATCAACCCTCAGACTGGGCAACCGGACTATTCTGCTCAGTGGGCCGAGTACTACAGGTTAGTTTTTATTCTTGTTAGAAATAGATAACAAAGTGTTATTGTTAATACTGAGGATTGTACGAGCTGATCCTAACTTCATCTTCACCCCTCCGGACGTTTGTGATTTTTTTAATGCTACTGGGCCGTAAAATTGGTGTGGGAATACCTAGGTTGGGATGGACCCATTCGAAAACGGCTATTATCAGGCTGTCTAGCATGTTCGTGCGCTCTTCTTTATTTTCGACGACGTGGCTACAGTTCACATAAAAATAGTGCTCATCAGTCAGCGTTGTCCTTGTTGTATCGAATTCAGGGGCCGTATGCAACAAGCCCCGAAGGTCTTCGGGGATATATCCCCGAAGTCGTATGCAATAGGCGCCGAAGGTTTTCGGGGATATATCCCCTTCGGAACCCTGCTTGCGCATGGCTGTCCTTCATCTAGTATTCTGCCGATCCTGTTAAGGATGGCTCGGACTAAGGAGCTTGTAGATTACAGACGGGCGATAGTTGCCAATGTCGTTCAGGTCTCCCCACGGTCCTGCTGGTCCACGGAGTGGGTACCTTGCATTCAGACAGGTAGCGTGTGAAGAGTCGAGCCAGAGTTCTGATGATAACTGGCGATGCGTTCTTCAGATGTTCCGGTTTAACCCTGTCGAGACCGGGCGCTGTACAATTCTTCACCGACTTGATGGCGTGTCGGACTTGCAGCGCTTACTAGGTACGAAAAACATGTGCGAAAAATTCCGCTTCGATCGGGAGCAAACCTACGACCAACCGCTTGCAGAGCGAGAGCTCTACCAGTGAACTGTTCTTATGAGATGACGCCCGTTTCCGGCCAGCTTTGAGGGCTCACAACATCCATAGGAAGTACACGTAGCAGTTTCAAAGTCCCCATTTATAGCCAGCGTTCGAGACTCTATCGGTGTACCTAGGTCTTCTTTCAAAGTTCCATGGAAATTTCAAAGCATTCCCTTGGGAGATGCGCTTACATAGCGCGGCTTACACCGCCAATGAATGATTAGTCTGTTTAGTTGAATTCTATCTGTTGTCACTATTACAACTACAAAAATCAGCTACCACTATGAACCACTACTGACCAGATTTGCTTGTAGGCCGAGTCACTTGTTACATGTTCATGAAGATTTAAGACGGGTGAGCTGCCCGACAAATACTTTGAGTATATTATAGTAGTATTAGGAGTAGGAGAACCTCTGATTGAAGCAGATTTGACCATTCTATACTACGAACTTTGTAGTCAGGCTATAGCGTGATCTATAGAATAGATACAAAAAATAGAAAAGCAGTGTATGCTTGAAAAAAGTTATAGTTGCGAGACGCATGCATCAGATCCTGTAACATTGCTGAAGCTTACTAGCGGGGTCCTTCAGGCCAAGCCGCGCTTTTTGAAAACGGTTTCTTGCATATTGTAGGGACGCATGTATGGACCACAAAACCATGTTTCTTTTTCGCTGAACGCTTATAGCAGTACTAAAAAGAAGCATAAGGTACTGTTAATGGTTCAATCCCCCGTGGCGACTAAATTTTGCAATCAAGGTTGGCGGCCCCTTGTTTGGTTCAAAATGGTCCTGGCGGTGAATACATCTGATTTTGACATTTAGCGTGATTTGGCACCAACATGTAGGCGCCAACCCAAATGCAAAATTTAGTCTCCACGGGGATCGAACCCTTAACAGTACCTTATGCTTCTTTTTTGGTACTGCTATAATCATTCAGCAAAGATGAAACATAGTTTTGTGTTCCCTACATGCGTCCCTACAATATGCAGAAAAGCGTTTTGAAAAAGCTTGGCTTGACCTGAAACCCCCCTTGTTAGACAGTTAACAAAAAATAATTAAGGCGGGTGTGTCTGGGTAAGGGGGGCATACTGCAGGAATTGTTTGGGCAAGTGGTAAAAAAGGAAGCATACAAAATTTTAATATCTGCAAAGCTTCAGGCAGTCACAAACAAAGAAATCAAGAAATGGTTAAATAATAGCTTAGAATTGAACGTACTGGCCATGATAAGGAAGCAAAATTGCAGTTTTTCACATGTTTTGTTCTGCTAACCTTTGTTTTTCTAAAATGTTTCGCAAATTCTACCATTGTTGGCATGAACTGTTGTGAAAGGTACCTGGAAGCTCCAGTAGACACTATCGTTTTGACCTGTTATTTTTCATTAGCTGTAAAAGCCCCCCCCCCTGGCACAACCTGCAGCGACCTTGGAATTTTTCGGGTGAGTTTCCATTGTCGACGATCAACAGCAGCACAGCTCCTCGTTATAGAAATACCAGTTGGCGCCGCACGCACTGCGCGCACAACACATACAGCGGCTTACACTTGTCGACGTTAGTATCTAACAGCTGTCCGTGCCCGTTGATTCGTGCTTTGCTCCCGACAGGGCGGGCGCCAGCAACGTCTGCCATTCGCCGCCGTTCGCGTGCTAGGTGGTCACAGTGGATCCTCCTTGCTCGAGGGCACAACAAGGTCCACATGTCGCTTTTCGTGTCAGAGCTTTCGTGAAGAAGTCTGAGCCATTCGCGGCCGGCGGTCGTCCCAGGTGTGCGTTGTGACGTCCCGAGGGATCCAGTCGTAACCCCGCGTCTGGTCCAACGGTCATCGCAAAATCGCATGACGTATCCGGCCCCCCCTTATCTTCGATTCTTGGCGAAAACGCAAGCGTCCCTGTCTTCGATCGTTTGGCGTAGTTCCGAACTCCGGATTCCCCTCTGCGCTTGCGTGTATAGGGTTACTCCTAGCATCGTCCCCTCGACAGCGCGTTGGATAACGCTGACCGCATGCTCGTCCTGCCTGCGCAGAGTCCAGTCTCTGAGGCGGTAGGTTAGGCAGGAAGGGCAGCGGAAATCGGAATGAGGTGGGCACGGACCGAATGTTCTTCGTCTTCTCTCTGCTCCCTCGATGTTCTTGTACGCTCCCCAAGCCGCTCGTTTCCTCCTGCTGAGCTCTGGAGCTAGATCGTTCATCATTTGATTTCCCGACCTAGGTACACGTACCTGGAGCATTCGGATGATTCTCGTTTCCGTTGTGCGTCGAATGGGTCATCAGAAACCAATCCGTTTCTCATAACCTCGTCTTCGTTAGTTCAGCTGTAGACACAACCTTACACACGGCGCAGTCGAAATACCACCAGCATTCGCTCGCGCTTGCTCGATGTTCGCCGTTATAAGAACGATGTCGTCAGCAAACGAAGGTGGTGTAGTTGCCGGCCCGTCGACCTTCACTCCATGTCTTCACATTCAGTTGACGCATGACGTTCTCGAGACGGCGCTGAAGAGTTTTGGGCGAGATGGTGTCGCCCTGTCGGACCCTCTCTGACGTCGATGATGAACTCCTTGTAGAATGGTGAGTTTCTGGTGGTAAAGTTGCTAGGACGAGCTCACGAAGAATCTTGATGTACTGAGTAGGGACGCCCTGGTTGCCCAAGGCTTCGATGACCGCTTCTGTCTCCACAGAGTCGAAGGCCTTGCTTCAAGTCGATGAATGTGAGACAAAGCGGCATCTTGTATCCCGTGAAACTTCAATGAGGCCCTGTCGTAACGCGATGTGGATATGGATCGATCGTGCTGAAGCCACTCTCGAAAATGCCAGTTCCTCTTAGACTGCGGTATTTATACACAGGGTGGTCAAAAAAGAGACACTTCACTACAAAACGGCATTGAGCACGCCTTACTGGATTTAAACAAATGCTCTCAACTGAGTGTTGAAGAGCACATTTCATTTTATCGAAAAACGTCATGACAGTACCTTGCGTCGACGACATCAAAAGATCTCTTGATATTGTGCTGTCCCGGAGCCACATCAGGTGCTGATGACATCAAAAGAATCTACCATGGAAACGATGCGCACGGTTCGGGCCCAGTGGGGTCTTCGACGGATCATCAGACCATTATTTGAGACCATTATTTGAACGCTAATCTCAGGGGTCTGCATAGTCATAGCTACTATCTGTAGGAAGATGCCCATGAGCTTAGCGAATGAAGAAATCATATGGCTGATTCAAACAGCAGTTATAGAGGACCTTGAGTTTAACGGTGACTGCAGGTGACGTCATATTCTGAACTTCGAATCCCATCCTCTTTGGAACGTCTAATCGCACAACCCAGAAAACTAGGTCGTTTCCTTGAGAGACTTTATAACCTTCTTACTCTTGTGTTATGTTTTTCTACTCGATGATTCACATAAACCAACGCAAAAATTATGCGGAATTGAGAAGAAATGTCGTTCTGAATTATGGTAAGTATTACGAGCTCAAACGAGGTGCGTAGCCACTTCCACTTCGGAGGCAGTGAAAACCATTCAGGAAAGCATTTTCTTTCACAAGCACGAGAATACTGGGTTACGAACAAAATCCCCCCCCTACGTGGGACCGAACCCGCATCTCTCGTTTACTGGGCAAGCGCTTTACAAAGTTCACTACACTACACCACTTGCCCCGTTTCGCTTTAACTCATCTTTCTATGGTATAATTATAGCTTCAGCAGAGAACCACAAGGCTGAAACATTCAGCAGCTAATTCTGACCTGTTTTAATTGTTACTGCTTTTGACGTCGTGGTTCGCGTTCCGAGTGATTAGCAAGAATACGTGGTGCCCCAATTACTAGCGCCAAAAATCAAAAATTCATCAGGTAATATGTATCGATTATTTCCATTTCACGCACTACTCAATAGTTGTGAAAGTAGGTTTTCTTGTGAACCGGATCGTTATTGGGGTAAAACTGCCAGCATGTCTAAGTAGGCAAGGGATGGGCCACTGCAACCTGCAAGCGTTCACATCCACGAGAAAGAGGCGGCATCAGAGGGCATTACTACTAGCTTTCTTGTGGTCCACTCATGACTGTGCAGGTGGACATCAAATAATGAAGAAAACAGAGGTCACTCATTGACAAGCCCGGACGAGGAAGTAATGTTGGAGTTTCGACGAGTAGAATGACTAAAATGGTTGGCTAGCAATTCATTTTGTTCCGCCAGAAGGATGGCAAGAGAGCTGAATGCATCGAAGCCAATGATTGAACGTATACAATAAACAGCCAAA